AAGAAAAAAAATATGCACATGATCAATTAATTAATTAGCCGATGGAAGCAGGGAGTGTAGCTGAGTGATGACAGTATTTTTACTGGAGATGATTCTTCACTCGTATTGACTTTGTGCACTGTTGCTATCTTGACAGCCATGCTATGCTGGTAGTACCAGGGGGTAGGAGACTGTTTTTCTATTTCAATCCTCATGGCTTTACCTGAGGAGAAATGCAGCCACTCATAGACGCGCGTGTCGGCACCAGGACAGCCATTTTTTCATTACAGAACAAGACATTCGGTCCTACCTAAAGGACCAGCATTTTAATCATGCATGAGTTAATTTCTGGATTATTAATTTATTAGACTTTCATAACTAAGAGTGTGATGAGTAGAGACGGTGGTTTGGCTACTTTTTGAAGTATCGATTGCTGAAGGACTGTGTGAAAGAGCGAAAAGAGTGTAGGTGGATCCATGGACCTTGAGAAATCTTGGTAGGTCTATCATCTATGCTGAGAGACCAACGGAATCATGATGGGGCATAAGTAAATGATTCTCATCGAGAAACCAATTTCACATAAAGAGGTTAAAAGGGTGGTTCCCGTTTCATCTGGTGACTGGTGTGCCCTTGGTAATATGGTAACCAGCAGAAGGGCTGTGATGATTTCCACAAGGGCATACCCCACAAACCAATTGTTGATTTCTTTACATAAAGACACCTATCCATCCATGTCTTCTCCTTAAAAGTGCACGAATTGTGTGGCTTTAAAGCTTTTCAGAGTGGGGGGCTTTTGATGATGAATTGAAGGTGATCGTCATGCCACCAAAATGATTGTACTGCATCTCTCTTTAGGCTTATCTTTTGCAGCCACATAAGCTTCCTGGTCTCGAGCTCTTCACCGATTGTCATTTTTCAAGATCTAGCCTTTCTGGTTTTGTTTATTCATGTAAACTCTCTATCGTTCCTTTTTCTTTTTCCCCCCTTGATTTGATGATATTAACTGTAATATACAGTGGCAAAACCATCCTGTATAATTTAACTAGGTAAGAACTAGTGGACTGCTAACAGGCACGCACTGCGGCACAGGTCAGAATGGTTGAAACAGCAGTGATTAGATTAGCCCATGGGTATACTATTATACTATAAATTAAAAAACTAGTGAAGCCATGTTAAGGTTTTTTTGTTTTGTTTGCATCTTTTTTTTATTGGATCACTCAAACTTTCTTTTCATCTTTTTATTTTTATTATATCCTTTTACTTTTCATTCAGAAAAATGATGAAAAGGCAACATGGAAAAGACATAACTGCGTTGCAATAGTTTTTCATAATGTTTTTTTTTATTACTCAATTTTTTTTATAATTTAATTATTTCACATTAAATTAATTAGAATTTAATATATATTTTATTTTAATTAGTTTTATATAGAGCTCTCATGATATTAAAATTGAGCTCTCATTATATTAAAATGAGTTTTAATGTTGGATTAATGCTTGATTTAGTAAAAAAAAATGTTTTTATTGTTTTAGACCACTTAAAACTTTAGAGATTCAATTTCAAACTGAATTAAATATTTTTAAAAAATAAAAATAGCATATTTATCTTAACTTTACAATATTAGAAGCAATAAATTTATTATACATAATTCTTGATTTATTGAATGGATATATTTTTAGTTTGTGGTTAAATTAAAGGTATTAACGGCATCCACATCTTTTTTAACGTTGAAAAGAACAAAAGCTCTATGCTACATTATAGAACGGGAAATCAAACTAGTTAGTATACAAATATAGGAATGATGGAAAATGTGAATGAATGAATGAATGCTATCATATCTATCATAGATGGCTAGAAAACTACAATGCATTTAATCATAGAATCAAGCCACCAATGTCAAAGGCGACCGTTGGCTTTAAGTGGCCTGTCCCCACTGCCTCCTGTCTTCGGAAGCTGGTTGCTCTGTGCATGGGTTTCTGGGGTCTCGACTTTACATGGGCGTGAGGCCAAAATCGAACATGGAAAAAATGGGGCTTTAAAGGAAACTGATAAAGGAGAAAAGGCAGCTGCCAAAAGTCTCTCTTTTCATCGCCAGAGGTGAGGATCGAAAGCCACTTTGGTTCTCGGGGCCTGGCCCCTGATGCTTGAAAGAACAGTCACTGCTTTATTTACTGCCTTGGTTTTGGTCCCCGACGCAAGAGCATCTGAAGAGACACCTGCAAATCTCCATTATTAATTTATTGAAGAGTAAAACTTAATCATAGTGGTTTTGATGTAAAAGTAATTCATGGTGCAATCGGAATGGAGTCAGTATGATTTTTTTATGGGATAATTCCATGTTTGGTATTGTGATATGAAATATTTTAAAAAAATATTTTTTATTTAAAAATATATTAATATTTTTATAATGTAAATATATTTAAAAAAAAAAACATAAAAAAGAAGAAGAAGCTATGTTGCTTCCTCACCGGGTATAAAACCGCGCACCTATTTTATCATATAAAATAAGGTTTGCTAATGGGGTTGCCAGCTAGCCTTTCTCGGCAGTCATTTCAAGAGGGTTTGTCTTCTAATCATGGTAAATTCCATTATCATATCATGTGTCAAAAATAATGCTATGATAATATCTTCGAAGCTTGTGCTTGATCTTAAAAGATGGTTGAATAACGAATTTAAATATTATTAAAAGCAAGCAATTCCAAGAACTTGATCCGGCAGTTAAGGATTCTTTTTTCTTTTTGTAATTTTCTTAGTTTAAACCTTGAAATCAATATCTAAAATAATTATTGATTTTTTTAAAATATACTAGAACGATATGAGAGCTGCTTTTTAATATAAAAGAGTATTGTTAAATTCATGTTGGTTCAAAATTAATATAAAGGAAAAACGTTAAGGGGGCATCTGGTATTATATTCTTTCTTTCATTTTTATTTTTATTATTTTCATTTTTTTTACTAAAACCCATCAATAGCCAAATTTTAATTTTTATCCAGATACCTTGCTTTATTCAATATGTATTTTTATTACTTTTTGATATTTTTATTTATTTTATTCATTTTAAATATAAACATATTTATATTTTTACACTATATTTATGAGTCTCGTGATTTGAATTCAATATAATTTTAAGGATGTTTATCGCTTAAATTATTTATAAGGTTGTATAAGAAAAGGAAAAAATATAATTTAATTTTTTATAATATCTTGAAAGTAAATAAATATTAAAAAAACATAAAACTTGACCATGTGCTAGGGTTTGGAAAGAGAAATAAGTGGTGATGACAACTTAACACTTAAATTAGTTTTTTTTAATTATTTTACCTAATGGATACTACATAGTTGACATAGTTAACTAATATCATTAAACTCAATGAATAACTTGATCTAAAAATTAATTCACACAAAATAATATAGTTGAGTTTGTTAAAATCAAGGGTTTGGGGTATTTATATAGGAATCTACCTTAAACAAATTGAATAAATACCCTAGTAGATGTTTTCATGGATATTTACAAACAAGTTCAGATCTAAAAAAAGCTTGGTTGTGCCAAACCGAGATAATAATCAATAAAAAAATATCCGATTATTAGATTAGAGTCAAATCTTTACACTAAACTCTACATGTTATTTTCCTATAAAACACGATTTCATTGCTCATCAAATCATTGGATCTTTCATAATTATACCAAAAAGATATTGTTTGAGCTACTTTTGCTATTCTTCCTATATATTTTTGAATTTATTGTTTATTTTTTGATTTTTTTTTGTTTATTTGTTAGTATTTTGATTTTTTTCCTCGTTTAGGTTAGTTTTTCTGGTCTAGACATAATAAACCTTTTTATAGGCAGAATTTGTCAAATTATTATTTCAAAAATAAAATAAATTTTCAGGTTCTTTGTGTTTTAACCATAATTTAGTTATTTAGTTTTTTTCCCTGTATTTATTGATGTTTTGTTGTACTTTACTTCCATCCGCATCATATATGCAATAGTTCCTACATCATACACATATATACATAAATACATTTATATAATTTTGTCATTCAATACACACACACAAATATTAATTTTTATTTTATTTTATGCTGAATAATAAATAATACTTAGGTAATGAATATATGAATAGATATCCAAAATTCATTGATTATGGTATAAATATATAAATTCTTTATTCAATAAAAATATGACATCCCTGAAATTAAAGTTAATGGGCATCTACTATCTACCAGGCACAAGGGAGTGGCATTGGTCACAGTAAGGGGATATGAGAATACAGTTCCAAGCCACAACCCAAAGCGGGCACATAGTAATTTTTTTGTTTGAAATTCAAGCCCAAGACCAGAGCGGGAAGAGATTGCGTTGTAATCTAAAGTCCCATCTCATTACGTGTTCTTGTGATTCAAGCTTTGTCAAAACTGTTGGTGACTTCTTTATGGACTCTATTTTGCAGAGCAGACATATCGACATGGGCTCATATGAAACACCAAGCACTTGAGAAAGCTTGGACTTTGGAGCCCTAACGAGGTTTATAGATACCCCGATGTCTATCCCGAAAACCTAAGGACTGCTCTTGCGTTTGTACGCAAGGAATAGTAAACAGTTTTCTGCCAAAACCCTGACCCTAATAGAAATAGCAAGAACGACCTGCTTCCCGTGTCTGGAAAGATACAGAGATCTTCTGCTTCATCATCTTAGGACTCAACGATGCCTCGGAAAGATAGCACGCATCGCAGGATTGTAAATGCCCCGACTCTAAACACACGACGTGTAGTGCCTCTTCAAAATTACATCAGACTTCGTGATCCACATTGGATTTTGAATATCTGACTCTCAGGATCGCACCTTTGCTTCACCCTGACCAGTGAGACACAGTGGCTTAACCAGAAGGTTGCAAGGTCTAGGTCTTCTTTCCTGAGAGCAAGGAGAAACATTAAAGAGCTCAATCAGCCCTAACAAAGAGGCCTTATCAAATCATTGAGCACCTCGTTTGAGTACACTTGCTATGATATTTGAAGGCGGCAAAAATTTGAGTACGGCAATGCTATCCAAGCATTGATGGCACAAAACGTCTAATTTCCATTATAAGCTAATACTACGCAACAGTGTTGTAAGATGATAAAAATAGGCAACATAACAGACTAACAGTACCCATAATATATGTTTCTGCTTGCAGTTCAGCTCATCTAGTGGCACATGGCACTTCAGTTTTGACAAATATACACTAACTGAATCTCAGAGGGAAAAATGCAAACACAAGTTGAGAGTTTTTCTGGCAATATCATCTCCATAGCTTTCTTCCCGGCCAGCAACCTGATCTGAATAGCCTGTTCACTAACCTCATAGGAGAGTTCCACCAACATTGTTGATCCCTCCGAATACTGTTACATTCAGGCTTCTCTTCTGCTGCTTGAAAAATTGCATCCTTGTCTTGCATCTTGCATCTTGCATCTTGCAGCCAGTTTTTGCATGCAGCCACTTTGGCAAGACTGCATCAATCTTGTCAGCCTGCCAAAGAATAATGGGAGCTGGAGAGGTGCATGTCAAAAAATACTTCAAAAGTATTTAAGACAATATCTTGAGGGTTCTATATTTATATTGTGGCTACCTGAAAAGAAAAAAGCGACTTCTAGGAATCGTTGTGTGCTCTTAAGGCCTCAAGGATGCTATCTACCCCCCTGCCATGAGAACTTTGTTAAAAATGAAGAGTAAAAGGGCCAACAAACAGGACAAATTGCTCTTTGAAATGTCATCCATCGATTTTAAAAAAATAAGAAAAGGTGAAAGGATAAAACCGAGGCAAGAAAGAATTTCAAATTAATTACTCTTGTGAAAATAAAAGTAAAAGCAATTGAAGACAATCAAAAATCAAGTAAAATGGTTTCCACATAGGTAATGTTTCGACCAGATCAATGACTGGATGAGAACAATAATTTCAAATATCTCCGATATATGAAAGACAGATTCCCAGTATAGAACAAGTCAGCACTTCACATGGTGTTTGGGACAGCGTTTCAACCGGAGTTTTTTAAGTATTTTTTTTTGCCTGAATTTTTTTTTTTTGTGTGTGTGTTTTTGTATCATTTTGATATGCTGATGTCAAAAATAAATTAAAAAAAATTATTTTAATGTATTTTTAAATGAAAAACACTTTGAAAAGCAACCGTTATCACTACTTCAAACACTCCTTTAGAGCTTTCTTACTTCTACACCTGACATAGGCATGTTTTTCTCATGGTGGAACTTCAATTCGCTTAAAGTCTATTTAAAGCGCTAAACAACAATGCTTCATAAAATCTTGATACAAGCCTGCATTAATGCTTTTCTCATGCAACAGAGAGTGATGATTAATCAAATACTGTAGAGAATGGATATTGGCACGAGGTAAAACAAACTCAGAAAAGGGGTCTAGAGCATGAGGGTTACCCTTCAAGACCAGGCTGTCTTGGAAAGTACACTTTTTTAAAACCTAATCTTTTCGCTGCTGATCCAGTTGTCTCCCCAATACAGGCCACTAAATTGTTCCATTCCTCTGATTCTGGAATAAGATTGGCCCAGGCTCTGTCAAAATGAAAGAACATGAATTAAGATCATAAAATAAACTAGGTCAAGAATAAGCTTTGGTTAATCTAGATAGATTAAAATGGAGAGGGGATACAAGGGGATCCCTGTGAATTTTCTTATGTTAAAAGGAACCAAGGAAGGATTGCTACTGTAGTGACCAACCATTTGGTAGCCTATATACGAAATTGATTGATATGATAGAAAGACAGCAAATTGATTTGAAAGAATGTCCTCATCAACAGATAGTTCTAGGTATCAGTTATATGAAAATTGTAACCAACTCCTTACCGAACTGAAGAAGGTGAAGCAACTGCAACAACAGGGGCTGAAATTGCCTGCTTCAGAACCATTTCATCAACATGACCAACAGGCACCTGGACAGATGAATACAGATGAAGATGACAACGTCAATTGTAACTAACTTTTTTATGACCAAAAATCCTATCCAGTTACTGCTCCTACAGACAACACTACTACAGAAACTATGGTATATAACTTATACCACAGAGCCGATCGCAGGATGAGCTACAGTCTGAGATAGAACATGAACAAGATGGAGATTGGGGATAGTGTTCAGAGACTGTTAAAATATTCTTCCTTTGTTGCAAAGATTGGATTACTTCAACATGCAAACTAGTAGAATCAAATTCCTGGGTTTGTACATCAGTTTAGTGGGTTTGTACATCAGTTTAGTACTCACTAACACTAGACTGTAGAAGGCAAGAAATGCCTGGAATCAAAGGAACACCTATAGCTGCTCTAGAAACCAACTAATTTTGCATAGTCAAAATTTTCCTTGGGCATAATTTTATCTACTTTGAAGGAATTTTGGGTAAAAAAAAATAATAATGGGTGGGTACATGGGTCCAAAATTCAGGTTACCTGAATTATCCGAAATATAATTTGGAAGATCAAAAAATTATTTCAGGTCAGGGAATATGAAAAAAAAAATTGAATAATTCAAAACATTCTCTAAAATAGCCATTTTTCACCAGAATGCAAACTCCTAATTCAGAGCTGACCAGCATCTTAGTCCAAGCCTTATAGTCAGGTATCTGAGAAGTATTTTCTTAATAAATGCAAGTAGTAATAATGAATATCATGGTTCAAGGAGCAAATACTTACAGTTGTGTATGTATTTAGTCTGACAACGTCAAATCCACGATTATACAGACCTTGTTCTGAAGTGTATGACAAAGAAATGCCAAAAATTATTCTTTTGCAGCTTTTCCAATATAGAGATCAGACTTCAAAAGTGATAACTGTTGAATTGTAATATATGCCATTGAGATAATACATTTTCGATCAAACTTCAAACATGATAACAGGTGAGACAATGTACTAAAACATTTTCTCGTTAGCATCAAAACTAGGCCATCTAAAAGTGTATCCTCTGCACAGTATAACCTGAAACAAAATCCAAAAAGTGCCAAGCAGCGGTATCTTTTACTACCACACATATTTTTCATTACTAAGTGGTAGCATTTGCAAGTCAGGATTATGTTCGTAAACTGCTCCATCTTAGCCTCCTATTGTGCACCTTAGTTCACTATACAAAAGTCAACGCAGCTACACATATCACACTATTCTTTATGTGAAACATGACAAAGTAACCTATATATTTAATCATATACCCACTTAACAATGAGATTATGTGTATAGTTCAGTGCACTAACCAAGTCAAGAAATAAAAAATTGATCAAAGGTGTCAAAACAGCACCGTATAAGTTATTGAGGGAACAAAATGGCCAAAAGAAAAGAATACAAACAGAGACACCATGCTTACCAATCTCATTGCTTGCTTTTGCAGAAGCTGGGTACAATACAGTGCATCTTTTGTTTCCATTCTTTGGAAGCTCTGATGCCAAAACCTTACCAGTTGCTGAAGAGTTAAAGGATGCATGAGAAAAGGCACAGGTGACAGTCCCAATAATCAAACAACAGCTAATGAAGCAGAAAATTTATGTGCAATGGCCCAAATATGGTCTAAATATTTGAACATGATCTCAATGTAAAATAATTTGCCTTTGGATCAGCACAACAAATCACAAAGATTCACAAACAGCTAACTAATGGTGAAATTTTTCATTGATCAAGCGACACAAAGGAAAAACACAATACAGGTGTAAAGGCCTGCCAATGTCAGTACATCCATGAGTACCTTTTGATGGTGTAAAGGCAACATCAAGTGATCTCTCTGATGATTGCACTACTTCCTCAAAAATGCTTGCTGTGCCAGCTCCTACAACCCCTACCTTAACTTTTGGCATTCCAGCTACCCTAAGGACCAACATTTAAGGGCAATGTTATTCATTCATTTTAATTCGTTCCTTATAAAAGAAGAAGAACGAAGAATAAAAAGAATAGTATTGTGCTTGATCAACTTAAATATCTTGTAATGATAGTGTATATCAAACAAAACCAAGTATGGTTCCCAGCAGGAAGGCAGCATAACATGCTGCATGTGCCACCGTGTTTTGTTTTTGGAGAAGACAAAAGGGAAGCAGGAGTAGAAGGGTGGAATTTGGCAGAAGAGGAATAGTGAGCACTTTGTAAGAGGAACCCAAAAGTAACTACAAGAGTATTTAGGATTTCCAAAAACACTACAAGAGAATATATACGTCCTCAAGTGAAAAGTGACTGATGCATAATAATCAAACAAGTTGTTCAAAAGCTAAAGAATAGCATATTTTAAGAAAAGGACAAGATTCAAGTTGCATTATGTATAAAAAAAATTAATACTAACTTCAATAAATCATCGAGGAAAATTCTATGTGCCAGTGAAAACATGCATAGAGTGCTGGCCAGAAACACCAAACACTTACTTCCATGCCTCCAGGAAGACAGAGCCTGCTTCAGGGGAAGTTATAATGATCCAGTCAAACGCACTATCTGCTGCCATTAATGCAACAAAATAAAAAGAAAGCATAAAGTAACCTGTACAGTTGTTGTTTGCATGGTTCATTGAGCATGAAAACTCAATTCAAAGAAACACTCTTACTTAAATATGGATGCCACGGAGAAATTCAAGGTGGAAAAATACTTACAAGCACGCACAAGAAACTTCCATTACTAAAAACACATGAAAGAAATTTTAGAGTGCAAAACTATCTCCTTTGTATAAGCAAATAGTGAGGAACACAGGACATAAAAGATACACACAAGCATAATCCTCTGACAGTAATTGAGTTTAAACACGCAGATAAAGCAATAAAGGTTAAGATAAATCAGGACTCTTCAGACCCCCTGGGAGTCAGAGAACAGCCCAGCCACAATATGGCTGCATTTTTCCTTCTAAAGACCAAATAGAAAAAGTTTGCCAAGCAAGAGCCTAGCATCTAACAGTAATAGCAGTTCCATAATACCATAAAGTGAACCACGACGTTTCGAGAAAGTACAAAGTACCGCATAACACAGAAGATAGTTTATCTGAATCAGGTCCCTGTGTATGCTGAATCAGTGGAAACTCCAAACAACTTATCCCATATTTCGCCTGCATTCAGAATGAAAAACAAATCTCACTTAGCCCTATATTCTATTAAGCTATATATACAAGAAGAAATCACTTGCATATTTTGGTGCATCATACAAAATTGAATGTTTCCACTAGGCAAATTCAAAAATTGCTCCCACATTGCCAAAGGCTAGAACATTAATCCCGTCCCCAATAAAGAAGACTGGACATGAAGCGAGGCCCCAGAATTTCATTTCAGCAAAACAACCCTAATACTCTATAAAAAAAAAATTATACATATTTGATTTAATCATTAAAAGCATAATAGCACATAGAAAGTTCCTCGTACAGAATTTTACATGTAGGTTCTTCGTTTCTAAAATGCTGTCAACAAACACAGCTACTGGCAACATTTTGTCCCTATGCACAAACAGCAAGAGAAACCATAACGGAATGCTTGCTGTCTTTGAACCCTCCGCAACATTATACAGTACAAAATGATTGGTAACAAACAAAATGTTTAAAAAAACAGCCTTCTTTTCTGCATTTAATTAAAAAAATTGATATCCACAGAAATGCACATAACAAAATCAGAATAATTTCACATTAGTTGCAAAACGCTAGAAGAAACCAGAGAAAATCGAAGTAGAGAGAGCACCAGAGCTTTAATGAGCTTGCCGTTTTTGCCTCGTTCTCTAGTGACTACGACTTTGGGCGCTGAATTCGAAGTAGAAGATGCAGAAGCTGAGGTTCTAAGAGACGGAGAGAAAAATCGTCGGTGAAGTTGCAGGCACGAAGAAGAAGAAGAAGAAAGTGAAGGAGCGAGAGAGAAGACTGGTGGTGCCATCGGCGACGTGTTGGATTGGGAAGCGAGGCCTCAATTGCCAGCTGTTACCAAATTAAGTTACCTGACTTTAATTGCTTTTATATATATATATATTTATTTATTAATAATATTATTTATTTATTATTGCCTCAGCCATGACATCTAACCCAAGAGCTAAAAGCATAAAACAAATCATAATTTAACGAGGCGCCGACCATAAACGTAAGAACGTAGAAATAATTTCTTACAGTTAGGTACACCTGTCGAAGCCATTAGAAGCCACGTGGATTTGTTTAGTTAGACGAAATTCAATGAGTGAATGACACCCTAGCATTTCCTGCTGGGCGATCATTGTTACCAATCACTCTTGGCACGTGCCTGCCCTTTTGGAGCAAAGATTAACTGTCCTCTCTAATCTCCATGGGAGAGAAAACTGTTTATTAAAATAGTTTTTGTTTTTTATATTTAACTTTTTAAATGATTATGTTTAAAATCTTGGTTTAAAAAAAGTTAAAATAATTTTTTATTTATTAAGATATAATTTTTTATTTATTTTATATATAAAATTTATCTCATAGCATTTTTAATTAGACATGTATTTTTTAAGTTTAAGATTTTAAAATCACAATTAAAAATATTTTTAAAACTTACTTTATCTGCACGATAAAAACACCATAGCACCATATACACGGTAAACATAAAAGGGATGTGTTTATGATGTTAAACTCTAAATTCATTAATTTGGTATTAATTTGATTGAATAAAAATTAATTTTATCAAACTCAATTGATAGTGGATTAGCTAGATCATAATTTAATTTAATTTTTTTAATTAAAATAATATGTTTTTAATTATTAAAAAAAATTAAAACAATATTTTTTTAATTCATCGAATTAGTTGATTTAACCTATAATTTAAACCTTACATGCATGAGTTTCTACGTAATTATATTTTCTACGATATTTTTATTAAATTATATGATATTTATAATATAAAAATATCATTAAATTATGAAATAAAAATCTTATCATTATAACAATAATTATTGTTATTTTTACTATGATAAATATATAATGCACAAATTAATAAATCATTCAGCATATAATGCCATATCATTTAATATAAAAGATTTACTAAAAATAATACGAATCTCTAGAATTTTCAGAATAAAATCCATAAAAAGTCTAACGAGATTTAATGGCATAGACTGAGAAGGGGTTTTAGATTTTTTAAAATTAAAAGTTGTCTGTATCCCAATTACCCTACCAAACCCTAAAGCAGTGTGCGCCCCATGAGACCAACACTCTCCAGATCTGACCCATGGGCCCGAATGGACTCTCGGAAGGAAGCTTTCATCATTGCCCGTGGGTTCCACTATCATTGATCAACACCGTTGATGATATTGACTTGTAAAGTACGCCCACATGGCAATGGCGGTCTGTCATCTAAAATGTTTTTTTAATAACGTCGGACTTGGGCATCATGTGTTGTTTGGGGGGACCGTTTCCCAGGGCCATGCTTCGGTAGTGTTTAGAGTTACAAGTACCAGTGAGGTTTCGTAAATAAATAAATAAAATAGTTTTTAGTGCCTGTTTTGAAGCTTTTAAGAGTAATTTTTTTATTTAAAAATATATTAAAAATTTATTTTTTATATTAATACATCTAAATAATTCAAAAAGATATAAAAATTAATTTAAAGTTAAAAAATTATTTTTAAAAAAATTACAATCAAACCATAATCTTAAATACTTTTTTTTTATTATTTATATAGGTGTCCGAGCCAGCTTACGGCACGTGATTAATCCAACAGTTCACTAAATATTTTGTAAATCCAGTGAGTATGTAAGATATTGCGATGATAGGTATGTATAATGAGGCTTGAACCCAGGTATAGAGAAAGAAAATAAGTCTTTTTCATCATCTTAAACATATTATTTTTTTTAGATTAACGTGGGTGTCCGGGCCAGCTTGCGCGCACCACGACTAATCCCACGAGCCCTGAAGTTAACGACCATGTAAACCTCCAGTGGCCATCCTATGAGCAACCAAGGATTCAAACCTAAGACCACAAAGGGAGCAAACCCCTTAATTCCAAGTCTTTACCACTTGGCCACCACCTAGATGGTTGTCTTAAACATATATATATATCAAGTTAGGGTGTCTTTAAAATGAACAAGGTTTTTTTTAGATTAACGTGGGTGTCCGGGCCAGCTTGCGCGCACCACGACTAATCCCACGGGCCCTGAAGTTAACGACCATGTAAGCCTCCAGTGGCCATCATATGAGCAACCAAGGACTCGAACCTGAGACCAATGAGGGAGCAAACCCCTTAGTCCCAAGTCTTTACCACTTGGTCACCACCTAGATGGTTATCTTAAACATATCATTAATTAGATTAGACGTGGTTTGTTTACTATAGTTTTAAATACATTATATTTTTTTTATTTACATGAGGTGTCCGGATCAGCTTACGCGCATCACGACTAATTCCCACGCCCCACTGAACATCTTGTAAGCCCAATGAACAGGTAAGGCACCACAAGAGTGACAGACATGCACGATAAGGCTCGAACCCAAGTACAAAAGAAGTGAATAAGCCCCTCCTAACCTTACTTGCATTAATTATACTAGATGTGGTTTGTATTTTTAAGAGATTGTAACTATAAAAAAAAAAAAACTCAACTTGACTTGACCACGCCTCAAATCTTAAAACGCGATTAGTAGATTACGTTACTTCTAATTTTAGATCGAAGAAAGCATGGAATGGTGGACTTCAAGTCTCTCGAAGCCATTCAGATTTTGCAAGATCCAATATTGTAAGGTTAAAGAGGGGCCACTGGGCGCTTATTTGCGTTTGCTGACATATCGACTCGTCGCCCAACTTGAATTGAGTTACATTTCAAATTATTTTACGAGTGGCCTAGATTTATATCCCAATTTAATTCGGTTACACCAGGGTGAGACTTCATCATCACAACTTCATAGATTATGTTTGTTTGTCCAGTGATATAATTTTATTTTAATTTAATTTTCATTCAAAACAACAACAAATATACATATAGTGTATGTTCATAAGTGATAGTCAACTCAGTAATTTTTATTTTTGGACAGTTTTAATATGATGATGTCAAAATTATTTTATAAAAATAAAAAAATATATTATTTTAATATAATTCCAAGTAAAAATACATTTTAAAAAGTAATTATTATCACACTTAAATATTCTTATTTTTTAAAATATTTTTCGTTTGAGAATATTAAATCTAGAAGTCTACTTTTTTATTTGGCTCATTTTTTTTTATAATTTTAATATATTAATGTGAAAAATAAAATAAAAATATTATTTTAATATATTTTAAAAAAACATCATGTGTTATATTACTAGATACACAGTTAAACCGGGCCGGATCCCCGGGACAACTATGCTCTAGAGAGCATGGGACAATTCTATTTTTAAACATCATGACAACAAAAGCGTCACCAAGATGGTTAGCTGATTCATTCGGGAATGTATCTACTATAGATGCTGTCTGTTTTTGTTGCTCTCGTTTCCTTTTGCAATCGACAATAACAGGGTGAATGGCTTAGCTGCTGAGAGCCTGGAACGCGTGATAGACGACTTTATATACATCGAATAAAACCTCCGGCTCATAAAGCAAGAGAGGGAAAAAAAGGGAAAAGACGACGTTACTTCCTGTTTCGATCGATCACCTATTCTATCAAACCCATCAACTCCACTGTCATGTTAGACTGAAAAGTATGAAGGCCAGTTGCTGGTTTTTAGTTAACGTTCTGCGCAAGAATGCCACTGCTTGAAAATGGGCAGCAAAATTATGAACAATTGCCAGGCATGGGCACCTTCGAGGAGACAGCATTTCACAAAGGACATCCATTCCTGTTCAAGACTGTTTCTTGTGAAAGCTCCTAGCAACCTAAAAACAGAGTGGTGATGTCGCCAAGAAAATACATACAAAACGCTTTTAAAACGTGCAGTCACAGATTTCAATGGCGCTCGGCGACACTTGAATTGAACTGGTATCATACGAAGAAAATATCAAGCACCCCTGCTAAAACAAATCCTACGGAATAAGTTTATATTTGGAATTGTTTTTGCAGATTGATTTAAATATTATTTAAAATTTTTTATTTAAAAAAAGGTCGTAAATATGTTCGTTAAGAAATAAATTAAAGAATTTGTATGAGGCAAAGTTATTTCAACTCGTAAATTATTTATGATTTAAAATTAGAAGTCATTATTCAAACGGACTCGAACAACGACAAACAGGGACTCTCAGTGGAGTAGATTCTTCAAAATATGTGGAAAAGAGCTTTGGCAGATGCGCGCTAGAGCACAACTTTTATTCAAGACAGCACCCTGCAAACTAATCTATTCCAATAGATAAAAGTTTCTTTCCAACTAGTGTAATTCTAAGCAAATGATCGATTAAATCCCTGCAAAACTACCTCATGTCATCAAAATTCAGTTCCACTCCACAAACTGGAGGGATTTATAAGAAATCTACAGAACCAATAGAACTGCAGAGAAATGAGACAAATTTTCCCCTTCTAGCATGATAAATACTGATCAGCTACACCGTGTTGTGTCGTGTCGTGGTGCAATTCACTCAGCTTACTTGCTGCTGGTGGCTGCCGTATATAGGATAAGCCCCATATGCTGCAGCTGCCGCAGCATACATGCTTGGATCATGAGGTGGCAGAGCATATCCATAACCATCATAAACCTGCCCTCCATAGTATGCCCCATTCCATGGGCTACCAAAATCTGCTCTAAACTGCCAAATCCCAACAATAACAGCTCAATGGACAAGCTTGAAATGTACCAAAAACTAAAGGAAACTAGTTTTGTGGGATAGCTTTTTATTTACGTCTGAACAAAGCTTTGACTGCTTATTTGGTTAGAAAGTGATTGAGTGCTATTGAAATTGTAGTCCCTTTTTTTTTAAGGGTATTGAAAATTCTAGTCCAATGTTAACTCTTTCTGAAGTCCATCTACACTCAATGCCCAAAGCAACAACTATTAGAAATCATCTGTATAATATGAGTGGAATTCTGTGGATCTCAA